TTATGGAGGTCTACGGGGAGGTAAGACACTTCAGTTTCTTAGCCTCATCTGATTTCTGACACCAATTCTCATGTTTGAATTGCGATCCGCTGTCCTATGAGTCCTGTTCAGCTGTATTCAGCAGCACACGTTTTTTAAGTAGTAAAGATGTTATCCGATGAGGAACATGTATATTCTTTCTGGGAAGATAAGGAATTTAGGATATTAAGATATCAGTACAAATTTAATTAGCATTGACTATGTTTACATAGCAGATCCAAAAGGTTTTTAAGGTGATCCGGATTTCAGCTTAATGGATTTCCAATTAACATTAGTATTATTACAATATCCTTATCTGAATGAAAAACTACTCCTGGAGCTAACTGTTAACTAACTTTTTACACTTGCATCACTTTTTTGAGGGTTGACTTTGGGTTATCAGAGCGAAATTGCCTCCTATTCAAATTAGGATATATTCATATTTTTGTTGATGCTAAGTTTTGTATAGTTGCAATTCTAAATTCCCTTTATTGTTACTCCAGGTGTGCTGCTAGATGACCTTCTTGTTGCCGAAGATCTTGCTGCTGCTGAAACAACAAATGCAGCAAATCAGGCAGCTGCAATTGCTGCAGCCTCTGACATACAAGCTGGAAGAGAACCTGGTAGGTATGCCTACAATGATGAACAAACAGGGCAGCCAGCTACAATAACATCTCCTGATGGAGCTGTGGTTCTTGGAACTCCAGTTGCTGCTCCCGTTAATGGGGACATGTATACTGATATTAGCCCTGAGAACGCTGTGATCCAGGGACAAAGGTTTGTAAAATTTCGTAGACATGTTCCGATAGTTTTTATTTTATTTTATTTTATTTTTTTTGCATATCTATCAGTCTATTGAGTAGAAGCTACATGCACTGAAATGTGTCTTTTGGTCTTGATTTGCACAGGAGAATGAGCAAAGGTGTTGATTATTTGGTTGAAGCATCTGCTGCAGAGGCTGAGGCAATCAGTGCTACTTTAGCTGCTGTAAAAGCTCGGCAAGTTAATGGTGAGGCAGAGCATTCACCTGACAGGGAGCAGTCTCCAGATGCCACACCAAGTGTGAAGCAAAATGCAAGCCTGATAAAACCAGACTATGCTCTTTCAAATAATTCAACACCACCTCCTGGGGTTCGGTTACACCATAGAGCAGTAAGTAGAAAATGCAGTTAGTTTTACCGAGTTAATTCGTTACTTTATTTGCTTCTCTAGTTAATTGATAAATTCAAAACCAGATCATGATCTTTCCTTGTTCTACTGTTGAAATATATTGTATTACAGAAGCTGTCCCTGAACAACCTAGCTCAAGTTAGTTACAGCATTGTGAACTTTATTTTTTTCTTGCTCTTGTAGGTTGTGGTAGCAGCAGAAACCGGAGGTGCCTTAGGTGGCATGGTTAGGCAGCTCTCAATTGACCAGTTTGAAAATGAAGGAAGAAGGGTCATCTATGGCACTCCTGAGAGTGCAACTGCAGCAAGGAAGTTGCTAGATCGGCAAATGTCTATTAATAGTGTACCTAAAAAGGTATCTTACTTTGCAGATGTAATTTGACAAAAAAAAACAGCAAACAATTGCATGATTATCTGCTAAAACACTAAGGCAATGGCATACACTGGTGTGTGTTGTTGTCAGGGGGCATAAATGGAAGTCATGATAACCTTTGCCTTTAAACTTCTATGCTATTGTGCTATTAAGTACTCACATATTTCTATTTGATGACAAAATTATTCAGGTAATTGCATCCCTCTTGAAACCTCGTGGTTGGAAGCCCCCTGTGCGAAGGCAGTTCTTTTTGGACTGCAATGAGATTGCAGACCTATGTGATAGTGCGGAAAGAATATTTTCAAGTGAACCAAGTGTCCTACAGCTTAAAGCTCCAATTAAGATATTTGGTGATTTGCACGGTCAATTTGGTGACCTAATGCGCTTGTTTGATGAGTACGGTGCTCCTTCGACAGCTGGAGACATTGCGTGAGTATTTTCTGATTTTGAACTGCCCTGATTCATTTACTTATTCATTCCAATTTTGGGAACTTTTATGGCATTTTATTGGATGACAAAGCTGAAAAACCTTTTTTTTTTCAAAAAAGAACCTCTAGAACACTTTATGTTAAGTTGTTTTATTTTCAGTTATATTATTGATACTTTATCTGAACTTCTTGATTTGCGTATATAGGCTTTGGGTTAGAAAATGTTCGGTTAGAGGAGATATTTTCAATCGATCTTTCCTGACTTATATGTTTTCCTTTTGTTTTTTTTGTTCAAAAAACTTTGCAGTTACATTGATTACCTCTTCTTGGGAGATTACGTGGATCGTGGTCAGCATAGTTTGGAGACAATCACTCTTCTCCTTGCACTTAAGGTAAAGTTGTGAACAACTGAGCGAACCCTGAAAAAGTGCTATTTCAGCAGACAGTTCTTTTTCTCTCAAAAATGTAACAATTGATCTTATAATTCAGGTTGAATATCCTCTTAATGTACATTTGATTCGAGGGAATCATGAGGCCGCTGATATCAATGCTTTGTTTGGGTTCCGAATAGAGTGCATAGAGCGAATGGTAATGACCATGTTGCATTCTGACATTCTTATTAGGCTGTTTTTTATCTCTTGCTTATCACTGTTCTTTGCTAAAAACAGGGTGAGCGTGATGGGATCTGGACCTGGCATCGCATGAATAGGCTATTTAATTGGCTTCCTTTGGCTGCCCTAATAGAGAAGAAAATAATATGTATGCATGGTGGTATTGGCCGGTCTATCAATCATGTTGAACAAATTGAGAATCTTCAAAGACCAATTACCATGGAAGCAGGCTCGGTTGTTCTAATGGATCTTCTGTGGTCAGCATTTCAATAGCTCTTTGATACTACTATTGCAAGATTGTTCTTTATTTTTCCCTGATATAACCTATTTTTTAAATCTTAAAAGGTCTGATCCAACTGAAAATGATAGTGTTGAAGGACTTAGACCAAATGCCCGTGGCCCAGGCCTTGTTACCTTTGGGGTTAGTATTCTCTGTGTAATGTTGTGTCCAGCTCTTTTCTCCCTGTTGGTTCGTGTGGTTTCTGTCAAAATAACACGTATTGTAACTGCAGCCGGATCGTGTTATGGAGTTCTGCAACAACAATGACTTACAGTTAATTGTGCGAGCACATGAGTGTGTGATGGATGGTTTTGAGCGTTTTGCTCAAGGTCACCTAATCACTCTCTTCTCAGCAACAAATTACTGTGGTAATGATATGCTATTCTGACTTGGTCTGTTCGCGATTATCTCTTCAAGTTTGATTGTCCTGTTACTTAATATGATATGTATGCAGGTACGGCAAACAATGCGGGTGCAATCTTGGTTCTAGGAAGAGATCTTGTAGTAGTTCCGAAACTCATCCATCCTTTGCCGCCTGCCATTACATCTCCCGAGACCTCTCCAGAGCATCATCTTGAGGACACATGGATGCAGGTAACTCCTCTTTTATCATGTGATGCTCTTGGATTTGCAATAGGGTATTCCTGTCTATACGCTTCTAAGTTCTAACACCATCTTGTGTTAAAATCAGGAACTAAATGCCAACAGGCCGCCAACTCCAACAAGGGGCCGCCCTCAAGCAGCAAACAATGACCGAGGCTCTCTTGCATGGATATAGTAGCTTTGGCATGCGCTGAATTTATTCATTCCAAGTCCTCATCATTGGGTTCTGGCTAAGCTACATTTATCCGTTCTGCACAGAGGCAGACGATCTGTGCTCAAGAGACGTGCTAGCCCACAACAATTGCCAACTTGGAGGTCGTTTGCAGAGGAGAGCTAAGCTACAGAAAGAACCAAGGGTGGAGAAACTTCGCCAATCACCACCGACAGCGCTCTCCAATTTCTTTTCCCAAATCATGAGAAGTAAATGAACATATTCTTGGTCGTTCATCGGAAGATCCTACCTGCGAGGCTTCGCCCCTGTATATACTCAGATGATGCCCCAGCGGATAGGTGAGTGGGGTGTATGTGTTTTGGTCAACCGATTTGAGGAACAGAAGGGATAGTGTAACTAGTGGTTATTGTACTAGGTATTCTTTTCCTGTGTCTAGATTTTGTTTTTACCATGTTGGAAAAGTATTGGAGTGGCCAAAGGAGTAAACTTATTGGATGGGGTCCATCTAGTTGTTGTATAATAGCTGTCTCACCTATTTGTGTTATCACGCCTTCCTCCCATTTGTAATACTACCTGTCTCTGGTGCTGACATGATGTACAATATTATCCTTGTCGTCAAAATTTTGTGTAGTGAACAAAGTTGGTGATTGTTTGATTTGTTAGGGGTGGTAAGAGCAGCCTTGTATTGTACTGTCCAATTTTTGATCTTCATCTTTGTGCCACACTCCTATGATCTTGGGTTTGATCTTTTTCAGCTTTGGATATGAGCCAGGCTAAATTTGAATTTTATAACTTAATTTAGAGGTCTTTTTGGTAGCTCTTTGTTATTAAGCCTTAGCTTATGTGTTACTTCATGCTGAATGTGGAATGGAACGATGAATATATGAATGATCTGTGATAATTGTTCGATGTAAAAAAAAACAAATTGACTATTACAAAGAAAGTTAAAAAAAATGTTTTAAACAAGTATTATAAGAAATTTATATATTGAAAGTTTTTATAAAATAATTGTCATGAATACTGTCACAAAATCGTGTAATCCATCGCCAATACATCCTTTCAGTCCAAATAAACGGGTTGATGACTTGATGTTAAGAAGACCATGAATGTTGCATTTTTACTCGTTGGCCGGCACGACTGCCTCTGAAATATCAATGTCCCGTAAAAATTTCCCCATCTCTCTCTCTCTCTCTCTTTGTTCAAAAAAACAAAAAATATACACGCTGCAGTGCACTAGTCCACACGAGTTTATTACTCCAGTAGTAGTAGTAAACAAAAAAAACTAAGAAAGCGAAGCGTGGAAGCAAGCAAACGCAGAAAGCGATCGAGAGGCCGAGGCGCTCCCGCGCGGCGCGCCGCTCGCCTCAACATCTTATCTTCTTCTTCTTCTTCTTCTTCTTCTTCTTCTTCCCCACGATAAACACGTACGCGCGCGCCTACTCGCGGCCTCAGCTTCTCCTCTCTCTCTCTCCTCGTACGCGCCAACAAGCAGCAGCAACTACACTAGTACGTAGGTACGTAGTAGGCTTGCATACTCTGGCTCCATGGCGGCCGCGGCGGCGGCGGCGGCCCCGCGGCACCACCACCACCACGTCGTCGTCGGGAGCAGCCGCTCTGCGCCCGTGTCGGTGTCGGTGTGCGTGCGGCGGTGGTGCGGGGGCGCGTCGTCGTCGGCGTTGCTGCGGGTGGGGATGATCGGGGGCGCCTCCGCGTCGTCGGCGGAGGGGAGGGGGAGGAGGAGGTGGTGGCGGCGGGGTAGGAGGGCGCTCCGGGTGCGCGCGGCGGCGGGGATGGACATCGCGAGCGCGGTGGAGGTGATCAACGACCTGGGGTTCGACACGCTCACCTTCCTCGGCGTCACCGTGCTGGTCGTCCCGGCCTTCCGCGTCGTCAAGGCCAGCCCAGTGAAGTATCTCTCCCCCGCCCCCCCCCTCCCCACTCCCTCTCCTCCTCGATTGCCTCCTTCTGATCCCAAAACTGCATTTCTTTTTCTCCATTTTTGGGGGCGTAGATTCTTGGCTTCTTCTGCGCCGGCGTCGTGCTCAACCAGTTCGGCCTCATCAGGAACCTCACCGATGTCAAGCTCCTCTCCGAGTGGGGGATTCTCTTCCTGGTAACTTCTTTGTTAACTCTTTTGTTACCATTCTGCATTCTGCACTAGGGTTTTGTATGATTTACTCATTTATCCTATCACAAACAATGCAACTGGATAATACATTAATTTGATTGATTGATTGGTGTCTCTGGCTTTCCAGTTGTTTGAGATGGGGCTGGAGCTCTCACTGTCTCGCCTTAAGGCTCTTGCCAGATACGCCTTTGGGATGGGTTTGCCTCAGGTATATATGCTCTCCCAAATTTGCTACTAGTTCCTTGTGGTTTTATGCTTGTGATCATCATCATCATCAAATGTCACTTGGTAATTTAGAACTGGAAATATCTCTGCTCAACATGGTACAACTTTGTACATTTCAGAATCATAGGTTCATATCTAGTTCTCCTAGTCCAAGACAATGGGCTCTTTAAGATTGTTATATTTGATTTTTGACATTTCACTGATACAGTTATATTGAATTTGGTTTCTTTCAATACATTACTTTGGTTTGTTCATTGATTTCGACAAAGTTCTGTGATGGCTGACCTTATGCTCTTCAATATCTTGAAGGTTCTTTTGTCAACCCTTGCTTTCACGGCGTTCGAGCTTCCTCCTAATGGTGCTATTGGAACCAAGATTTTGCAGTTCCTCTTTGATTCAAGACCTGATCTGGTGAGATACAGTATGAATTGAAAATCTTAATACCTCTACCCCTACACCTAGATTATAACTTGTTTCACTTTATTTTAGTTGAGCAAACAATCTTCCTTGTTATCTATCAGAAAGATGCTTGAAATTTCCTTAGTTGCTTAAGTATAGGCCATCTTCCTTGTGATCTAGTTTCAGAAAGATGCTTGAAATTTCCTTAGTTGCTTAATTATAGGATTATTATTATGCTTTACTCTGTTGTAACAAGGATTAAGGATTTCCTTTCAAGACCAACTCAGCTGCTCATTATATTTAGTTCTGATATCTGCAGGTGAATATCAGGAGCGTTGATGAAGCAATAGTAATTGGGGCTGCCCTCTCACTATCCTCATCTGCTTTTGTCCTTCAGGTGTGCATTCTGCCTAATGACTGTATAATGTATTGGCAGTTTGTTTTTGAAGCAAATTCATAGTTTCTTTTTACACCAATTTTGCATAATTAGGCTTTTTTTTAAGAACTGAACTTTTCCATGGTGTGAAATTTATAGCATATCTACTTTGTGTTATGCTGCAAATTGTCATGGCATTTACTATTAGGTTGACTTAAATAAAACGGTCTTATTTTTATTTATACAATTGTTCAAGCAATACTTCCTGCTTACAGTAGTTGTATTGTCACTCTTTACACATAATTATTGATTTTTGGAGTGTTTTTGGATGTCATATGCAGCTTCTTGCTGAGAAAGGTGAACTCCCAACAAGATTTGGCTCAGCTACACTGGGAATCCTCCTCCTGCAGGTGATTAGCTGAATCTAGCCCTCTTCTTTTTCTTCACTGAACTGGCCCTTAATAGAAAAGTTTCTTTCTAGTGGTGTATGCTCCATTAATTCCTGGATGTCTTTTGCTGATACTTCACAGGATATTGCTGTTGTTCCTCTCTTGGTCATACTCCCTGTGCTAGAGAGTCAGGTACGCAAAAGGTCAGCACTGATGATAATCAGCCTACATGAAAGTTCCTGTGCAAAATACAGACCTGCACACTTGGATCTAATTTGACTTTAGGACTTGTATAGTGCCTTTGGAGATTATGCTTGTTGTAGCACCTTGCTTTAATGAGATTTTTTTTGTCTTCTGTATCTCTCGCTTACCCTGAGTTCTAGTGCTATTAGTAATCCGCTGAGTGGCTCTTGTGCTGGTTGAGCCAATTGCTCCCATTTTATTTTGTACTTTAAACTCCTTTTTACTCCTCTAATGCATTAGCAGAGCTCCTGCTGTTTTCGCTCAAAAAGAAAAAGATATTGTTTTTGTTTGGCAAATGAATATAGTATCACAAAGGTTGATATGGAGTATAATAAGCAATTGATTATCAAATAGTCCCTATGCTCTTCGACTTGGTCAACTACTCTATCACAAAATATTACCTTGTGTTTTGTATATTACAAATCAATGCTTACTACACACTTTGTTGCAGAATGTGGTGGAGCAAAGTGTGTGGCCAATGTTATTAGCTGAAAGTCTAAAAGCACTCGGTGGACTTGGCCTACTTTCCCTTGGAGGGAAATACCTCATCAGACGCATCTTCGAGGTCTGTTACTTTGTACCTTTTTAATACATTTATAAAATCAAATCTCTATCTTACAGTGAATATTGAATGAACCTTCATGCAGTTTGTTGCAGAGTCAAGGAGCTCAGAAGCATTTGTTGCACTCTGTCTTCTTACGGTTTCAGGAACATCCCTTCTCACGCAATGGTTGGGATTTAGTGATACAGTACGTCATTAAAACATTTTGAAGTGATAGTCACGTTTAGTTTATGATTTTCCTGTCTTTCTGATGTGCTCTTGTTAAACATATGTGTAGTTAGGTGCATTTCTGGCTGGGGCCATTCTTGCAGAGACAAATTTCCGTACCCAAATTGAAGCTGACATAAGGCCATTCAGAGGTTTGCTGCTTGGGTTGTTCTTTGTGACTACAGGAACTTCTATTGACATGGAGGTATTAACTGTTTACCTCCTTTTCACATGAGCAATGAGTTAAATGACTGAGCCATGATCTGTTTTGGTGAACATTACTTCATATCACTTAAATGAGAAATATGTATTGGAAGTATGTAAATGCATGCACGTCTAGTTGCATCTACTGCAACTTTCAGGCAGTTGTTGACAGTGGCATTGATGTGTTTTACTGTTTTTCTTTCTTTGACAAAACATCGCCGAATATTCCTTCAACCTATCTCAAGTTTTTGGCCCATGTGTATGTAGCTTCTCATCCGGGAGTGGCCTAATGTTCTGTCACTGTTGGGAGGCCTTATTGCAATCAAGACATTGATAATTACTGCAATAGGCCCAAGAGTTGGGCTAACTCTTCAAGAAAGCGTAAGGATAGGATTGCTGCTTTCTCAAGGAGGAGAATTTGGTTTTGTGGTGTTTTCGTTGGCAAACAGGTCAGTGATTATACACTCCTTATTTTTGTTTCTTTCCTGCTTTATCATGTACTTTTCGGATTTCATCAGCTATCGTTGCTGAAACAGGCTTGGTGTCCTACCACTTGAGTTGAATAAACTGCTCATCATTGTTGTTGTACTGTCTATGGCGCTAACTCCATTACTCAATGAAATTGGAAGAAGGGCAGCAGGGATCATCGATGAGAAATCAGAAACAAAAGAAGTATGTACAAACAATTATCTATACATCTATAGTGAGCATAGTTGTAGTTTATGCAGTCAGCTCTTAAGATGATCTTTTACAGAAACCAGCTGAGATGGTGAATTATGATGCCACTGAACCTATTGTGATTCTTGGTTTTGGAGAAATGGGAAAGGTATCTTGCACAATATTTTTTCCTTCATTTATTTGATACCAGGATCCTCTCCCATTTTTTGTTAATTAAAAATAATGGAAAATTTTCCTTTCTTGTGGGAGCTGGTCAATAGAATCATTTTTTTTGGCAGGTCCTTGCAAAGTTTTTGTCTGCACCATTATCTTTTGGGCTTGACAAAGATGCGGAAGGTTGGCCATATGTTGCATTTGATCTAAATCCTGCTGTCGTAAAGGTTGGAAATAAATGAATATTTTGGTATAGAAGTTGATGTGTTTTTCTTAATGTTAATGTACTCAGCTAACCGTGTGTGTTCACTCCCTAATAGTCAGCTAGAAAATCAGGCTTTCCAGTGCTATATGGAGATGGTTCACGCCCTCTTGTTCTGCAATCTGCCGGCGTATCTTCTCCGAAAGCTGTCATGGTCATGTATACTGGAAAGGAAAAGACAATTGAGGCTGTCAACAGATTGCGGCAAGCTTTTCCTGGCGTAAGCAATTTTATAGTAAAACCTTTTCATGATTTAGGAGAATACCAGGATTTAGTTTTCAGGTTGACAAAAAATATTAGATATTCATTGTACAACGAGTGAATGCTCTGGTGATAATACTCATTTGTTTTATCAGGTTCCAATGTATGCAAGGGCTCAAGACATGTCACATTTGTTAGATCTAAAGAAAGCAGGTGCAACAGAAGTTGTTCTGGAAAACGCTGAGGTAATTTTGAAACAAATTTGTCGTTCAGTATTATGAAATGACAATTGTACATGAACATTTCCCCTCTTGTTTTATATCTTTCTGCAGACTAGCTTGCAACTAGGCTCGATGCTTTTGAGAGGACTGGGTGTCATGTCTGATGATGTATCCTTCTTTAGTAAGCTTGTGAGAGACTCAATGGAGTTACAAGCTCAGGAAGCACTCAACAACATCGAAAATCGAGAAATTGATATCATGAAGCCACTTGAGGTTTCTGGAATTAATCCTCCCCACCTTTCCGAAGTTCTTTTAAAACTTTCTAATTATTGAAACTTGATTTCGTCATATAAGCTAAATATTTTGTTGCAGATAAGAATATCAGACTTGGTTGAGCGCAATGGGAATGGTTCAAGAATGATAGCCCAGGAGGATTCACTAAGGCTAAGTAGTCGCCCAAACATACCACTAATTGAAGCAACTCTAGAGGACCGAATACCCGAAACTACAGGGGAAAATGACCAGACTGGATATGACTTCAACAACATAGATTCTGAAGATGGTGTCAAATATTGTCTCTTGGAAGCTAGTGATGACGAAAGCGAAGCCTCCAATTCAAGCAAGGAAATGATCGACCAATCTGTATAGCGCCACTAGTAAAGAACCAAGATACTAAACTTCCACTTCTAGGATCAAGCCCATAGAATGGTAGCCAGGCAGAGCAGAAGTTCAGACCTGGCACTTCTCTTGCAATTGGACATATGCCTATAGCTTACATGCAGCATATATTTCTGAGGACTGGATTGATGGTTATCAGTGAAGGGCATATGATCACTGGATTATATGTCACTCAATCCTAAATCATGCTGCAGATAGAGAAAAATTTCAGCTGACAAACCTGATACTCATATACCTACTGATGCAGCTCAGAGTGCCAGACTGAAGGATCACCATCCAGAATTCAGAATAGCATTTTTACTTTTTACAGGACCCTTAATTTGTTCAGTTAGGACGACACCTATATGCATATATAGATGCACATTCCTTACACAATTGTGCTGTATTTGTAGCGTATATCGGACCGAACATTAATTCCTGTACCAATTCAGGTACGCACAGAGAATTACAGAAATAGTATTGCAGTCATCGTGGATTTGTGATATGTCGAATTTCTACCATTCTAATATATTGACGTGCAATCCTTTTGCGCGTTCACGAAAAAAAAGAATTTCTACCATTAAAAATGGTTAAAATAAATGAGTACGAACATCGGATTTCTGTGGTTAATTGGTCCAATTAACTCTAGGATATGATTTACACCTGAGCTGGTCACAATCATTCACATTGACATGGTACTTGCACCATGAGCCTGCACCCTCCATCCAAAAAAAGAGAAAAAAAATCTGACTATAAATCTTAGATATAGTAAAATTTGTAATGCATATATGCTTAAAACACCTACGTATATTTTTTTTACTAATTTGTTATAAAATTCTATGTATAAACTTTTTGTTTTGGCTGGACTAACACACTGCTAAATTCGTTTCAAGTTTATAAGTATAAATGTTATATGTATAAAGTTTATAAGTATAAATGTTATGCATAAAATTTATCTATGTATAAAGTCTGTATATTTTTTTTTGTCGGCCGTACGCTGCTAGTCGGGCTAAAGGCCCAGGAAGAATATATCCATTTTATTAATGATTGTTGAATAGTAATGTTTAAAAAATCCTGCAAGAGTAATTAAGAAACATAAAAATTGGAAATAGAAACGCTGCAGCTGATCAAAATCAGTTGGTGTTGACAATTTTTAAGCTTTGGACTCTTTTGGTTGCGTATGTCAGCATGATAAATTCTGGAGATGAGACGACCCAGAGGTACAAGCTGATTTTAGGCCCAAATTCCATTGTGGCCCAACTAAGATCATACAGCCCATCAGCTGTATGCTTATTCCATTATCCAAAATTAAACCGACGACTTGGATAATCCAAATCTTAAGGCTATGTTCGACATTCAGACAAGTCGGAAGCTAATTCTCCTAGTACGAAGAACAGAACAATTTATTAGCGTATGCTTAATTAAGAAAATTAAATATTAATTAATAAAAATTGAAAAATAGAAAAATATAATTTTTTCAAAGCAAATTTCGTATATATATTTTTTAAGAAAAATATGGTTTAGCACTGGGAGAAATATGTACGCGAAAAACGAGATGGTAGTATAGTTACAAAAATAGAGGAAAGAACATAGCCTAAATAAATCCTTTGATGAAGTAATTCATTACGTACTCCAAACGGAAAACGAGATGGTATAAGTTGAAAAAAAAGAGAGGATACAGTAGCTAATGGAGATGAGATGTAATCCAATTTTATTATCTGTAAAAAAAATCAAGCTAATTAATTAAGGGTTGATTTTGACGATGTGGCGGTGGATGGCGGCAGTGCGCGGCACTTGCACTCCCAGCGTAGCGGCTTGTAGTCGTCGCCGCCGCCGCCGCCGACGTCACCGACCTCCTTCACCGGCGGCGCCGCTGCACCTGCACCTGCATCTGTCGGCGCCGGCGGCGGCTTCGGTGGGTGGACGGGCCGCACCAGCACCGCCTCGCAGCGGCCTACGCACGACGGCCCGCAACTCCCCGTGCAGTCCGGTGGCCTCGACCCAACCATCACCTGCTGCTGCTGCGCCTCCCCCTGCACCGACATCGCCGTCGCCGCCACCGCCGCACCATTGTCGTTCATCTCCTGCGGCAAGTCCAACGAACGAGCAAACAGAGAGTGAGATCGAGATCATGATTGCATGTAGTAGTAGTACATATGCAAATGAACGGAAGTAAATTAATCGATCGATCTCTGCACTTACCTGATGAGTAATGGTGGTGGCTGGTGGTGGTGCAGCTTGTCGTTGGGCACGGCCGCCGGCGGCGGCGGCGGCGGCGAGGAGGAGAGCCAGCTGCAAGACGAGGCCGAGCAAGGAGGCGTTTCTACGGCGACCCATGAGGCGGCGAGGAAGAAGAAGAAGCCCTGCGAGATGTATAGGAGCAGAATTGCAATGCCACGAATTTGCAATGTAATATAGTACTAGAAAATCGCCCTTCTATATATATAACTTAGCATGGTTCCATTTTGGAAAGAGCAAAAATCTGGAAAATTATTTTTTTTGAAAGTTAGATGAAGATTGCATTAAGTAGATTCTAGATTTGTTTTCGTTTTCACCACACGCATGATCTCAATGTCTATAAGTTAATTGGAATTAAGCCTGCTGACCTCAATCGGATTTACCTTTTCTTTTTTTTTTAAAAAAAGAAACCTCACCCACATCATTGGATCTATATGTTTTCGGGCTTGTTCAGATTGATATATTTTAAACCATACTATTTTTTTAGCAAAGTTGCTAAATACGCGCATCCATTTAGTTTTCTTACCAAACTAGTAAATATAAATAAGAAATACTACCAAAACTTGGTAATATTGCCAAATTGTCAAAACTTGGTAACCATTGGATCTTCTTCTTGCTCTTGAAGGAGTATTTGTTTCCTCTTACACTTTTTTAAGCTTCTTACACATCACTGCATCGATCTATATCCTTCTGTTTATTAGTAGTTTCCTTCCTAGGATTTTTTTCTCTCACTGGTTCCTAGATTTATCTTAAGCAGTATTGCGCCATGTGGCGCAATCAACAACCCGCAAAACGGCCGGCTTGAGAAGTACTGATGATGACATGCAATGCAAATTAAATTTGCAATGAATTACATTGCAAATTAATACCTTTAAAAAAAACGTTGCAAATTAATCTTGTACCATCAAATCATATCAAAATCACCATTGCAAATTAAATTTGCAATGAATTACATTGCAAATTAATCTTGTACCATCAAATCATATCAAAATCACCATTGCAAATTAATAGTACCTTAAAAAAAACGTTGCAAATTAATCTTGTACCATCAAATCATATCAAAATCACCAACTATATATATGCACTGATTGAGCCATGTAGTACATAAAAACATGACACGGATTGATTCCATTAGCTGATTAGCAGCAAAGTCAGCACAAATGGTTTCTACAAATTAAGCAGTGGCGTGCAGGTCAGCTTGGGCTTATCATTGGCGGGCCGTGTGCGAGGCCCAGGCCCACATGCCGTGTCGTAAGACTAGTTCGCCGACTCCACCACGGCCCATGGGCCGTTTCCCTCTCTCCCCCACTGCCCAGTGCCCCCCCCCCCAACAAAATTCTCTTGGCTCGCTGGCAACCGGGGCCCACCTCCCGTTCCGCGGTCGCATTTCCTCGAACAGCTTCCGCGCCCTCGGCGAGCAGTTGCGCCGCCGCCGCCGCGCGGTTGCGGTGGTGCCGTCTCCCATTCCGGCGAGGAGGCGCCGGAGGGTGGGACGCTGGCTCGTCGTCGGTGGATATCGAGAGAATGGGGGCAAGCGCCACAGGTATGGCACGGCACGACACGAGCAACCCGCACATCCTCGTCGTTTGCTCGATTCTGTTTTCCCCTCTCGCCCTCCTTTCTCCGAGTACGGAGGAGCGATCGATTGATGTGTGGTGATTCCTCTGATCTGCAGCGTCGATCGCCATGGGCGGCCGTTGTTTTGTTAGGGTTTATATATACAGTAGTACTTCAACATTCTGAGCATCGCGAGTAATTTTTAATCGATCATATTGCGCTCGCGTCGCGTCGATGGAATCTATCGGAGTTCCAATTGGATTAGTCACCGTGTTTGATTTGTTCTGGATTTCAATCGGTGGGTAGCGCTCGCATTGATGAATTTTGCGGGGGTAATTTTTCGTTTTGAAGTAATTCCTCAGGGGGCATCAATTTGGGATGCTGTTTTAGATTGATTCTGGATTCTGGATGGGATTTACTTAGATGATCTGTGAACAATATATTGTTGCATTGTACTATCTGCTAGGCAGGGTAACTCTGCAAGGTTTGTCTATAATGGTTATTGCTATTGTGTGGAGCCCTGGAATAAGCAACCAGACTGAACATGCTTAGATTGTAAGGAGCTACTAGTGGCTATGCAGTATGTGGTATAACCATGCTGTCCTACTCTCCTGCCATCTTGTGTCTCTGTTGTGTTTTGAATGTGTCTCTGTGATTGATTGACTGCATTTGCATTTCAGTTTTGCTCCAGGGCACGGTCTGTAGTTATTAGTCCTTGCATCCATGCAGCCATGGTAGTTCCTTTTCACCTGTTTATTGAATCACCAATGGGCAATGGCTATATTGACCTTGGTTCTTCTATCCAATGATTTCATCATTAGTCAGAATTAAATATAATTTTCTTCAAAACTAAAATGAATATATATCTTGTCAGGGAGTGATTTCCTGAAGCACTAAAATGATCCATGTTAACTACAGTTTAACCCGTGTCATACTTTTAGTGGGTAGGCGTTTGATAGTGAAATAGATCATGTTCTATGCTCACTTATTTCTTATTTTCATTATTTCTGTGGGAAATGAACACCTTCCTACAAAAAATCCTGTGAAATTCTTGTAATCTACAGGAACCCCTATCTCTTGCATATTCCTCTTATCCAGTTTGAAAGAAAACCTCAGCTACTAGCCTACAGGGTTTTGCTCTGTTGTGAGGTTATATCCCCTCACTGATATACTGACTTCTTTAGAAACACCACAACTACAACACTTTCCCTTGAAAAAGAAAACGACAACACCAGCAACAGACTTCAAATATAACTTTTCAGCTTGACATTTTAAATCCTACTTGCTATTCAGGTCCATTCCGCTGTTTTTTTGCCGGGTCGGCGGAAGAATGCCTACCAAATTTCATTAAAATTGGGAGTAAAATACATGTATCCCGACATTAAACTGTCAAGTCAAGGCAAAAGCCTTGAAACAAAGTGAGAAAAAGCAAAGGGGAAAACTATGTACAGAAGCAACAACTCAAAGGTCTACTCATTAAACTGAAAAATACCGGCAGAGCTCCAGACCATCACATCTTCTTTAATGTCTGCAAAGGTCCATTCCGCTGTAAGTGGAGCAATAATAATCCGAGATGCTACTATGGAAGCTTCTGATATGTGTGAGTGTGATAATCATCTGAGATGCTAAATTCAAAAACATTAATTTGTTCTAGGCCATGTATGTTGAACTTGAAGTGGTCTATCCACTTCTGCTCTCCGGTTCAGTTTCTGTGATGTGGTTGACAAGCTCATTAAGAATTGGCTACAGCTATTCAATGAACAATTTTTAGCTAAAGACATCTGTTTGAATGAAGTTTCAGGTTTCCAAATTACTCTGCCTTTTGGTTTTTTTTTTTGAATGGGATGAATCACTGTGTCAACTCTACTATAACATGTTTTATACATAATCCATGTGTTTTTTCCAACAATCTCAACTATGTTAATTGTGTGAAGCATAGCACGGTCTCTCGCGTCGCTCTTGTGCGGGCGGCTCGGGGGGCGAAAAACCCTAGCCGCCCGCGCCTCCACTCCCTCCCCACCGCCTCGCCGCCGCCGGAGCTCGCCGGCGGCAAAGCCGGCAGCGAGCAGGGAAGGCGGCGGCGAGGCCCTTCCTTCCTGGCGACTCCCCACCGGCGCGACGTGGACGGGACGACGCCGGCGAAGACCCTCCACCGCGGTCGGAGGTGGCGACGGCGGCGCGATGCGGGGAGGCAGCAGATCCGGCGCCTCCAAGGCCGGATCCGGCCACCCCACGCCTAGATCTGGCGCGACGGCGGCGCGAGGCGGCTGGGGGGCGGCGGCGGCGGCGGCTCAGCGGCGGCGTGGCCGGCCCGGTGCGGCAGCCTGGGCGCGGTGGTGGCAGCTCGACGGCTGGGACGGCGGCAGCCTGGAGGCGGTGGCGGCTGGGAGCGGCGGCGGCAGCACGGCCTGCCCGGTGCGGCTGCCCGGGCGCGGCGGCTGGGAGGCGGCAGCTCGGCGTGCGGCCGGTCCGGGCTGCCCGGGCTCGCGCGGCTCGGCAGTGCGGCCGAACGGCAGCCCATGGCGCGGCTCGGCGGTGAGCCGCGAGCCCCCATGGCGCGGGCAGGCCTCGGCAGCCGGGCAGGCAGGGTGCCGCCGCAGTGCCTTCCTCGGCCGGGTGGGCTGTGCGGCGCGGCCAGATGGAGCGCGGCGGCCGGGTGACGGGGGCGCCGGTGGGTTGTGCCGGAGCCGGAGCAGCAGTAGCTTCACTGGCGTCGGCGCAAGCCCAGATGGCAGTGTAAAGGGAGTTGGCGGCGGTGGGTCGTCTTCTCCGTTGCCAGTCGGCACCCTCGCCCTTCCTGGAGCTCCTCCCCTTCTCTGTGGGGAGTTTCTGGGTTGGATTGAGGCGGCAACTCGTCAGCGGGGGAAGCCCAGACTGCCAAAGCAATGCCATCCAGTCCCGGGTTCTCCTTTCGTCCAAAGCTGGCGAGGAGGCCGGCGGGTGGTGGAACGGAGGGGTCCTGGGCCAGCTCTCAGGGGCGGTGGTTGATGTTGGCTGACGGAGGGGCGTCAGTGCGGTGTGGTTGAATGAAGTCGGCCGACGGAGGGGCGTTGGTGTGGTATGGCGGAAGCTACGTGCTACCATTTGTCTGTGTGGTGGTTCTGAGTTGGTGGGCGGCGATCTGCAGTCAAGGTTGTAGGGTCCCAGGCGAAAGCCTAGTCTGGTGGTTCACCAGGCCGGCAGCGGCTACGTCTTCGGGCGTCGTAACCTCCTTGGGGCGTTGTCGAGGGGTACCCTCTTCCTTTCTTGATGAGCTTCTCTGGGTGAAAACCACATCTTTTTAGATGGGCGATGGCGGCATCCTGGATGTCGTGACCACCATGGTGGCATCGTTTTCGGAGTCTTGTCTCTGTGGTGTTGCCGTAGGCCTAGCGGCGTTCGGCCACGCTTAGCGGGGGTCGTTTGGTTCTAGGCTTCACCCTCAGCGGTTTGTGCTTGGGTGGTAGCGCGTGGTGTGTGGTCATGCACCTTGGTGCATTGTGATGTTTTTCTTGTAATTTTTACTCCTTCTTAATACATTCGGATGGCCTCCTTCGGCCTTCCCGGCGAAAAAAAAATTAATTGTGTGAAGCAACTTTCATCACAAAGAGGTTTATGAGAATGTATTTTGGCCTTCTGAGACTTTCAGTATTTGGGCTTCTACTTGTTACATCCTGAGCTAGTACGAGTTCAGAATGGGCACCACGATGCCATCTTTTTATGATTTTTATCTTATGATCCGTGTTTGTATTTACTGTTTTGATTTGAGAAAACTTGACATGTTTCCGTACCTGGCTCAATTAATTATGCAAAATTTCAAGCATCCTGTTAACTTTCTTAGCCTTGATAATCATTCAGAGCTGTAAATTTCTTAAACCACATGCTTTGGACACTCTGTTGTTTCTGACGAACTAGATTGTCTGATTTCTTGAACTGCAAAGTTCGTCGTTGCCAGCTTTTCATTTGGTTCATGTCAGTTTCAGGCAGCCAAACAATCAATTAACCCGATTTAATTGGTAAAGATTTTATACCGAGCTGCTTGCTTCTGTCGGCATTGTTATTAGTATCTCTATCTCACCTTCCTCGTGTTAAATAACATATAACGTGTATTCAGATTGCCCCTGGACCATCTGATGCGTGCACTATCCTTTTTTGACAAAGCCATGTGATTTTGCCTAATCAGTACTATCTCCACCACTTTTAAGCTTATTCTGGCCTACATATATTCATATGTTCTTTTCAGTAACAACGTCCAGAAAGATCCATCTAGAATTGGCAGTGTCAGGAATATTTTCTAAGGTCCTTCTTGTTTCTTTACTGCAGGCTGTGAGATGACACATGCTAAATGGTTTAGTAGTTTCTGGAAGACATATTACAACATGTGCAGCTGTGGTTTTTCTCCATGGACACAGCCATGTGACTATCTGGTCTAGCGGCAGAATTGTTGGGTAAGCAAGAAATTTACGATCGATGACAGTGATATGTCAGTACTAGTGATAGGTAGGTAGAGAGTTGCATATGCAAATGTGACTTGCACCCCCCAATTATGAACACCATTACACCAATATGTGGTTCCCCGCAAAAAAAAAGAAGAAAAAAAGAAAAAAAGAAAAAAAAAATACATATGGTTCTCCCCCACTTATGTTATTGTTACCTTTCACGAATATTAATCATGCTGTAATTTGGCATTCCTTAACACTGTTTTGACGCTAGACAGTCGTTCAGACAATTCAGACATAATTTCTTATGCTGGAGTATATGCCTGTTACTGGATGTTTATTCCAGGAATCTGTATTTGTGTAATTCACTTTCTGAACATAGTTGTTCTGTAGTAAAATTCATATGGTGAACCAGGTTAGCTAGACATAACAGTGAACCCATCTCTACACATCTACCCGATTTAAATGAAATTCCTTTACTCATGCAAAAAAGAACTGGAGGTACTAAACGCTCCAAGTTTCTATTTTGCAGACATTTTGCTGAATAGATGATTGAAACACTCTGCTCAATGGGCCTCCAATATATGTAATACGCATGGGCAGATAGGCTACACGCCTACACACCAGGTCAGAGTTTTGTTCAGCCCTTCCCTTCTTATCTGTGTTGCTGAGATTTCTTTATGCCATGTGTGTTTGCTATGGATGTGATTTTTTTTTTAAAACAATGCATATGGATGGTTACATACGGCCTAATAAGCACCTATATATGATGCACACAACCATCAAACTAAAGTAAATGGAAACATGTCAATCGCGCCGCCTGAAAGCAACATATCCTCAGAAACAAGTGTCCAAAAATTGCAGTATTCCAGTCTGTTTGTTACGCCATTCATCATAGTATAGGAAAAAAACACCCTGGATGATCGATCCATTTCAAAATGTATGGACCCAACAGGCATATATACTCTGGTCCTCAAGGTTATTATCTGCATATGGAATATATTTTCTCTGTTATATCTCCATCACATAGTTCTTCTTCTGTCAATAGTTGGCCTACCCGATAAATCCCATCACTTCAGATAGCTAGCAGCCATGCATTCACCCCCAAAAGATAATAAAATTGTTGAGCTGATCGATCATATATGCCAGCATTTGCATACGTGGTCAATCATCGTACGCTTGTTGTTCCTCACGATCAGAATACAGGGCGCGAGAGAGGTTCCATCCAACTGATCGATGTGATGCTAGCTAGAGTACACATGCATCACATGAGAATTGTGAATTGCCGGCTATATGTATATAGCTTGTTATAGCTCGATCGATCGATCGATCGAATCGATCTTGTGGCTCATGTGATTTGCGAATCCATGTTAGGTCCAGGAATTAGGGGCTCAGAATGCACGTAGTGCATGTGGCGCTCACACAGGCCACTAACTTAATTAGTTCTAGCCGCAGCTAGCATGGAAATATTACGTGCGTACCGGTCATGCATTTATATATGAATGCTTTCACCTCATGGCAAATAAAGAAAAAGGAACGAATGCTTCTCATCATTCTTGCATATATACTATTAGCCGGAGATCGAGCGAAGGATTGTATAGAGTTTCTGTTGGCATGCTTGACTACTCGAGTAACTCGACATCACAATATTGTGCTCTGTTTACATATATTTATATATAGTCGCTCTGTTGAGTTGCCTAGATTTAATCAATAATTTTTTTTAAAAAAAATAGTTGAATTATTCAGCATCATATCTGTAACATTAGATTAGTCATCGAAAATATCTTAATATCTTACATTTACAAACTTATTTCACTTTCAAGTTTCTTTTAAAACAATGATTAAAGTTTATCCACTTCTGATCAAAATCAATAAGGTAGTAGTATTTGTGAATGGAGGAAGTTTCTATGCTACTTTAAAAGAATGTAGTGATGGTGGCAATGAACCCGCTACTCTTATTATAGTTTTACAAATTACCTCTTGAACTTCTTAATATTAAAAACCAATCAAATTTAAATGGATAGTCACATATATAGTCAAATTAAGGTGAATGTTCACTATAGCAAAAGAATAGGTAACATTTTGTAGAAAATATATTTTTTTATTTGTTTTAGGTAATACTAGAATATATTACATTGCATTCAGCTAGTATATGTAAATTTAGGCTGTGTTTAGTTCGTGTGCTAATTTTTTTTTGAAGTATATGGACACACATTTAAAGTATTAAACGTAGACTAATAACAAAATAAATTACAGATTCCGCCTGTAAACCGCGAGACGAATCTATTAAGCCTAATTAATCCGTCATTAGCAAATGTTTACTGAAGTACCACATTGTCAAATCATGGCGTAATTAGACTCAAAAGATTCGTCTCGCGATTTACATGCAAACTGTGCAATTGTTTTTTTCGTCTATATTTAATGCTCCATGCATGTGTCCAAACATTTAATGTGATGGAAAAGTTGAAATTTTGAAGAAAAAATTTTGAATCTAAACACGGCCATAATTGAGATGGAACAACAGTAGTCGTATTGGATTACTACCTAGCTATAGCCGGTGGATAATATAACTATTGTCCTGTCTAGTAAGACAACTTTCTATAGTGCAGTAGTAGTATTATATGGCCGTCATCCTATCCTATATATGTTTGTGGCTTTGTTCGAACAATACTATACATGGAAAAAAACCGGCTAGCTGTTGATCACCATAAAACCGGTGGCGGCGAACACTGAGGAGGACAGGACAGCAAGAGTGTCCTCACTGTATACAGTGCATGGAGCTAGCTACTGTGTTTTCTTCTGTTAATCTAGTAATCCCCGTGAATTTGGTGATATTAATTTGTGTGCTCACTGCAGAGACACATAGCGTAGTATATCACCACGCAGAGAAAACACGTACAGATCGTGAGTGCATATCACTGTCTGATATATATATAAACCAAAACTAGTATGAACTATAGCCATAGTTTTGCGCGTGCTACAAGAGCTGCACATGGATCACGCGCAGTTTTGAGGAGACAAGAAACGATCAGAGGAGAGATATTAATAACATATAGTAGTATATGGTAATCAGGCACATGCATGCCGTCCTAATAGTTGAAATGTTTTTTTCTAAAACAATTTGGAAACTCACCTTATAGTCTCATATATTTTAAATTCGATCTAAAAAACAAAGGGAAAAAAATCCGATCGTGTATTGTCTTGCATTGTTCACAACTTGATTTGTTTTCCCTTTATATATGTAAGAGCGAAATGCATTCTTACGATGAAGTGATATATGTCCTTTCATAGTTTCTTTTATAGAGTTGTGTTATAGATCTTATTACAACTAGATATGGAAGAAAAGAACCGTGTATAACTCATGCTGTAAAAAACATAGGAGTATACGATAAGAATCGAAAGCTGCACTACTCTAGCTCTCTCCCTCAAAAGAAAAGAAAAAAGAAGAGTAAAGCTAGCTGCACTAGCTCACTATTCCTTTAGAAGAGTACTCCATCCGTCCCATAAAAAACCAACCTACCGGATGTGATATATCCTAGTACTACAATCTGGATATACATTTGTCCAGATTCATCGTATTAGAATATGTTACATCCAGTACTAGATTCGGTTTTTTTATGGGATGGAGAGAATACTCGTGTCTGCACTTATCCCTTTAGCACCTAAAGAAAACTTAGGATACAAGTATATAGTACTAATATAAACTATTGTTTAACTATGAATTTCACACGCATGGCAGCGATGTTCAAGACAGTATTGCTCTTTTCCAGCTCTTTTCGCTGCCCTTTCACTAACTCCTATGCAAAAGATCAGGACAACTTATTGGAATATCCTAGGCTCGAAGCTCCTGCTACCTGTCATTTAGCCACCTATGGCACGTGTGTGGTTAGGACTCGTAGCCGTCAAATCTTGGAGTTCTTGGAAATCGAAAGGCGGATCGATAATTGGAGCACAAAAGTTAGGTATGAACTGAACTTTAGGATCGACTGATCACCTGAGTTCTTTTTCATGGTTAGGATTCACGAGTGCTGTTAAATCAGCTGGTTACCAATTCAAGCTAAGTTATATAGTTAATTCGGTCTCCTCTTTGCGTGATGGCATCACTGCATACGCATTCACATCCTTCAATTTTGTGGAATAATCAGATCAGCTGCTGCTTTTTTTTCTCAATCTTCATTATGGTGTTCCTCTTAATTGGTGTGTGTACAATATTAGCTACTCCCTCCGTTTCACAATGTAAGTTCCCACATTCATATTGATGTTAATGAATCTAGACATATATATTTATCTAGATTCGTTAACATCACTATAAATGTGGAAAATGTTAGAATGACTTACATTGTGAAACGGAGGAAGTATATATTCCTAATCATTTCAGTCTCTCAATTCTATAGAGCATTTCCATTCTTCCTGAGAGTTTGTCTGGCTGGCTGTAGATTAATGTTAGCCTTTTCAAATGCAGCGAGTCATGCTAATTATTTTGCAAATTCCAACTGAGTTATATCTATGTATGTTTTGGTCCTTGAGTTGGCTAGCTAGTGGATTGATGCAGTGGTAGATGGCGAATGCAGATAGACGCATTATCAATTACTTTAGTGGTAAGGTCTTGTTGCTTTGACCCCATATTTAATTTCTCAACTCTTTTTACCTCGCATTGACATGTGCATGGTCAATGCCACCCACTAAGATCACAGGTCGGTAATTAAGGTTGTGTGGAAAAGCAATTAGTATGTTACCTAAGCTTATCTTAGGGGATATTGGGCCACTAGTAGTCTCTCTTTTTCTCTGTGGTGATGTTTAGGATTAATTAGTTGTAGCATCCATGAGTTGCGTGTTCGTACATGTGGTTAATTAATATAATAATTCATCCCGTGGAAGTGTGGGAGCTATAGGACTGACCATTGATCAATTGCTTACTCGCTACTCCTTTTTGGAGATTCTCTCCTGTCAAAAGCAGGAACCGGCCGGTAGACATGCATGATGAAGTAAATGCAAATGTAATACATCTGGTGGAGAAATTTTCCATTGTTCTGATCTCTCTGTGTTTTTACTTGTTTGATTCCAGAATTTAGGCACGAAACTTTCTGAACATATATGTAGGGCAGGTAATTAGCTATATGCTTATATATGCAAACTATATGTACTTTTCTTGTGATGCCTAAATTAATGTCGTCATCCTCTGTCTCTTGCTGCCCAAATGCCCTGTTCTTCTCTCTTGTCTTTTCCAAACCTATTTAGGATGTACTTCCTCCATCACAAAAGTTAAATCTATTACTTTTGTCACCAAGACAAAAAAAAATCATCTTACATGTCAGGGCAAGTACTATAATGCTCCATATATTGCCCCTAAAAATGTCACATTGGATTGAGTGATAAGGTAGAGAACATAAGTGAGGAGAGAGATGATGATCAGCCACCCTTAAATCAAGAGGCAACCTCCACACAAGAAGGGTGTGAGAGTATTAGAGATATTAGTATTTGTGTACTAAGAGGTGACATATTGTATGGGTTAACTCTTAGTTTATGAGTGAATGATATGGATAAATTTGGAGGTGGTAGTCACATCTATATAATACTTGCCCACAAAGATTAAGAAGTGTATGCACGAGTATTAAGATGACTCGAATTATGATCAAACATTTAATTTACATCTCCATTTAAGTATTGATGCATAGATTACAAATATGAAAAATTTATTTTAAAAAAACTAAAATATAAAATATGTCTAACTCTTACGGATGGAGGGAGTGTACAAAGATCGGCAGATAACACTATATGACTATATATTCTTGTCTTGATTTTTCACGGTCTTTGAGAGATACATATAAAGGTTTATTTTGTGCATATAATTTAGAGGTGTTTTTTCAGAACATACTCCAGAGGATTCTGTAATATAAGATTATATACTAGATTAGACAGAGGAATCGGTGGAGGTGCAATCAGCATGTATTCAAAACCGTACCAAATTAACCTAGCTTAGATGAGCGATAGTTATTATAGATTATTATGGTATTATTCCACAAGAGTTCACTAGCTCTCCAGTCCACACGAAACACTTGCCCAAACTTTGCCACATATGTAGTCTAATTAAATTGTTGGCCACATGTACTTCTTTCACAAAGTAAGTACACATATAGTTTTGGTTAAACTACAAAGTTATTGATACATTTTACGACGGAGTGAGTAGTTAATTTATAATCCTACTAAATAATATTATGAAGCGACAAACTATAGATACAAATACACAGTGCACATAATGGATTGACTATATAGTTATATATTGAAGAAAAAAAATTACTCCCTCCGTCCCAAAATATAAGCGTTTTTGGACTTTAACACGGTCTCTGAGATGCTACTTTGACCAACGATATCTATAAAAGTAAGATATTTTAAATAAAAAGAGTTACATACTATGATAGTTTGCTTAATGATAAATCTAGTAAAAGTAAAAGTTGAAAATGTTGAAAATCTAGTCAACATCAATTTTAAATGATTGATCTTTTTTATTTTTTTTGCTATTAATAGTAAAAGTTGAAAATGTTTGAGTTGTTACTATGCTAAAAATGTTTATATTTTGGGATGGAGGGCGTAGTTATCTTACTATACATACGAGCAATGATATATACTCCCTCCGTATTTTAATGTATGACGCCGTTGATTTTTCGACCAACGTTTGACCATTCGTTTTATTCAAAATTTTTGTGCAAATATGAAAGTATTTATATCATGCTTAAAGAACATTTGATAATGAATCGAGTCACAATAAAATTAATGATAATTGTATAAATTTTTTGAATAAGACGAATGGTCAAATGTTGAATAAAAAGTTAACGATGTCATACATTAAAATATAGAGGTAGTAGTAAATAAGTACGTGTGTACATATGTGGTGCATTTTTGTCTCTTTTCCTTTACTGATCTATGATTTCTTCTGTAGCTACCATCCATGCATTGCTTTCTGTACGTAGCATGCACATATGACAGCTAGCTCTACGTGCGTACAAATCAAACTTTCTGATCGCTTCTGCAGGATTCTACCGGTATACCAAAACTAGGCATCGATCGATCATTATTGGATTTGATTCCCATATCAATTATTATATATTTGTATATATGCACATTTGATTGATACGTTCGGATCGCTTTAATTTGTCGCGGCCGGGAATACTGTAAACAAAGAATTTCTTTTTTCTGTGGTAGCTACAGTAGGCCGTAGGATCTATACTTGCAGAGATCGATCACGTACGTACTCCTATATTGGACC